GGGAGTGCCAAGTATTATCATGCAGGAATGTTTTGTAACCATAAATTTTTTGTGTCATTACAAGCCACATAGAAGTTTTACATTTTGTTGAAATTAAAAGTGGATCAAGTTTGAAATCGTACATACAGATTTACATGCAAATCAGAATATGTTTTTAATGCTTTTCATGTAATTGTTTCAGGCCTGCGACTCACCAGCACGAGACCTCAAGTGACTCGTCTGCCATAAGAGGAAGGAGTTGTTGCTGTACAGTCATAATGAGCAAGTTACACCATTTCTCTGACGTCCAGTATGCTGTCCTATCATCAATGCATGGCTCTTTGAGATAGCATTTTCTCTTGCAGCTATGCCACCAGAATCTCTGCATGTCAAGACTGAAGTGAAAATCTGGGCATGTCAAGACTGAAGTGAAAATCTGTGCATGTCAAGACTGAAGTGAAAATCTGTGCATGTCAAGACTGAAGTGAAAATCTGTGCATGTCAAGACTGAAGTGAAAATCTGCATGTCAAGACCGAAGTGAAAATCTGTGCAAGTCAGGACTGAAGTGAAAATCTATGCATGTCAAGACTGAAGTGAAAATCTGTGCAAGTGAAGACTGAAGTGAAAATCTATGCATGTCAAGACTGAAGTGAAAATCTGTGCATGTCAAGACTGAAGTGAAAATCTGTGCATGTCAAGACTGAAGTGAAAATCTGTGCAGGTCAAGACTGAAGTGAAAATCTGTGCATGTCAAGACTGAAGTGAAAATCTATGCATGTCAAGACCAAAACATGACAGGAAGATACTATTACATTATTACAGGAAGAAATGTCAGTTTGATGTGAGACCATGTCAGGCTGATACTTGTTTGTCCAACAAACTGCCTCTCTTGCTTTACTGTTTGCATGTAGGAGGGTAACACATATGCCTGGTATCATCCGACTTTGTGTCTTGCTTTGATGCCATCTGTGTGCAATGTTGGTTGCTATTCACTTGCTTTTCTTTATTGACACTACATGTTTCAGCCCAACCAGCCATCTTCAGGTGTACAGGTTGATGTGATTGCAGAATCTGCTGCTCACTGTAATGATGTTTTGTTTCCGTTATGTGGAGGCCTCGGATTGCATCTGGTTATGTGGGTTAGTCATCTGTTTTTTTATTTAGGTGTCCTTGAGCTTCTGGTGTTTGTGTCATGGTTTTGTTTGGCTGTGGCTGTCTTGAATGTTCTTGCTGGGGCAGGAATTTGTTGTGTTGATGGCCAACCACAGCACAACAAATATGCCCAGCTCAAGGACACCTAAACAAAAAACGGATGGTTAACCCACATAACCAAATGCAATCCGAGGCCTCTACATAACAGAAACAGAACAGCATTACAGTGAGCAACAGGTTCCTTGATCACAACAACCTGTACACCTGAAGATGGTCGGTTAGGCAGAAATGTAGTGATGACAAACTTTGAGAGAATGTTAACTGACATTGCACACAGACAGCATCAAAGCAAAATTCAAAGTCAGATCTAAGCAGTGCAACAGGATGCTGCAATGTAACATTATGCCTGATATCAGTTTTTATGTAAAATTCATTCATGGTCTTCTGGCTTATGACATGGTTACCAAAGTTTTCTTCTGGTCTGTTGAAGTCAGGGGCAGTATGTCCTCTGGTAACCATCTAGCAGGCAACACAGTGTTATAACTTAGGAGACCAGAATAAGATTTTTCACCATTGTGAAAGATTAAAATCTGATACTGTGTAAATATGTAGGATTTGAGGTTTTCATGGCGGTGACTATGAAGAAAGTAGTCTTCTGGGATTTGGCACTGTGTATATGTGGTGTTAACCAATGTTTCGGAGGAATGTATCACCTCCATCTTCAGGGTAGAAGGAAAAATATAAGAATCTGCAGGCGAAGAGACTGTGAGAACCGGTACAAGCAGACTGAACTCCATCCCAAAAATATGAACACAGAGGGGACGTTTTGTCTCAGCAAGTCATGGAAGCCTCTCATCTGTTCTCTTAAAAG